TAGGTCATTTCTTAGTTCTTTTCTAAGACTAGGGGCATACTGGAAGAGACGCATCCAGGAACCTTTGTTTCCTAATGTCACAATGAGACTATTCAAAGGTACCCATATTTTAGTGTGAAAAAGCTGTTTTTCGTTAATTCATTAGCTGGCCGTTTACTACAGTTTGGTGATAGGCAGTTGTGCTGTCTTCCGATTCAACTCCACACCTAACCTATCTGGGCCTTATGTGTTTCGCCACTCCAAGTCCCGGGGCTTAGGTTAACGGTTTACATCACTTAATAGCAGGTCCTCGTGACCATAGGTCTTTCCCTACCTGCTGTTCATCACACGAAAGTGTGTAATAAGAAAAGGCACGGGGACACGAGGACAGCGAAATGCACGTCAACTCCCGCATCAAACTCGTCACAAACTGGACTCACGTCAGGCTTTCTAAATCGTTTATCGTGTTCCCTTGTCATCGAAATCAATACGATTTATTCTTCTCTGTGTGGCCGAAGCACTCGATATGGGATTGCTTCACCTTCCTGCCCTCACCATGAAACCAGAAGCATTTCGTTCAGGCGCTATCTCTACCCTGGTCTTGAGATTCTATCCTGGTTACTTGAAAAACGTCCTCACCAAAGCTAGGTTGTATCAAATTGCTGACGCACTGTGATCGCTTTGTGCATAGTGCGTTAAGATCTACCTCGCGCTGGATCAAACGGTATGCACTACCTATATACCTCCAAATCGGTACTTGTCCAGTTGATGAATTGTCGAGAGACAGCTTATTTTGCCCATCGTAGTATGTTTTACACCCGGGTTTTCATTGGGAAAAACAAACGATAAACTCAATTTCGAGATTTGGAATAATAAACGTCACAAAGTCCTAATGCCAAATGCATACTTGAGCGCTAAGCGTTAGCTAGACTAGACTTTCCTTGGCCTCATACTAGAACAGTGGGCTTCCATCTGATCGGTGATTATCTGTCTGACAGTTGTGAATCGTGACGCGAGTTTAGCCTTCGTTTATCTGGATTTCCGTGTTTGGTGTTTGCATATTTTTCTTTCGTTTCATCAAAGTAAGCCGCTCCGAAAATTGTAAATGAAAGAGCAACATGCACAGTATCTCTGTGGTATTCAATTGGAATTTGTTCAATACCTGCTCTGTTACTACATGGATATTATTTTGTACAACTTAATGATGATTCGTTGAAGCAAGAGCTTGTCCCGATAGCGGAATACGAACTTCATTTCTTTTCTGCTCTCCGTGGCACATGTCGAATTGAATTAATTTGGATACCACTGGTCGCTGGTGTTTGGTTATGCATGCAACCAAGCCCTTCATCACTCGGTGACCTGTAGCACAACCGTCAACGTGGCAAACACTGCTTCAAAAGCTCGACTTTGTACTGCCCAGTACAGAATCCACGTAGTCACATCACTTAATCTGATATCGGGTTATTTTAAATTAAAAGATGTACATTTTGGCTATGATGTCAAAGCTTGCTTCAGCTCAGTACTCGTTTCACACTAGAAAAACCAGTCTTCTTGAGTGATACAAGTAACTATCGAATCTCAATATCATTGATGTCGTTTAGGGCTTGGTGGTAACGAGGTTATCTATTCTACGCATGTGTGCTTGACTTCCGTGGTTTTCAGACCACTGTGTGCTGTGATGATAAACTTTGATCAATTGAGTTTTATTTTCACACACTTGTCTGAGGACAGACTGTGTGCCAAGCAAATCATGGTAGAAGAATCTTTATGAAAAAGAAAAACGTTCCATGAGTTGCGTGTGGACTGAGTACTACCAGGTTGCCCAGACCAAGGCAGATGAATTTTCTTGGGGAATCCACAACCGGACTCTTCGGCTAGCCAAAGCCTGACCTTTAAGGCAGCGGGGCGGTGTGTGAAAACCGCACTTCATTAGGAGCCGGTGTCCAGTTCATCGGATCATACGTCTTTCGGACGGGGTGAAACGTCCAAGGTGCCTAATATACCTCGATGCCCAATCGAGCCGGTGACCACTGCCACAACCCGGAAGAAGCGTGTGGTTCGTACGCCTGGTCTTAGTTGTTCTGGATTCAGGGTTTTTGGCCAATTCTCCCAGGTGAACTACCAGTGGTCCATCAACCCGGATGTTGGCTTTTACTCCTCTCAGTTTTGTAGGGAAACACCGCCACAAGAAGACAGTGAGTAGGGCTTCCTCAGCAGAGGGTTTTTGGGCCGCTTGGTCGCATGAGAGCATTTCGTGAGGCGCAAGGGAAGGGTGACCAGCCGCAACCCTAGACACCCACCTCCGACCATACTGAAGCTTTCGGAGTTTAGGCGTACTTTCTCTCACCAGTCATGCTCACTACCCTATTTATGCTTTGGTTTATTGTTCCGGTACAACACTTGTAAAAATATGAAGTTATGCAAATGGTTGTTTTGGCAGATTTGAAGTTATCTCAACTGTGAAAAGTTCAGTAGCCTCGGTGGGATCCGAACCCGCGCATGGACGCCGCCTACGCTTTGTACGCGTACACTCTACCAGTTGATCTACGAGGCCATATTCCTCTGTGAGTTGGACGGGTAATTAGAATATGAAATATGAGTTTGTTGTTTCCCCTGCTAATTGCTCTCGTTATATCACTGCATATGAAAGTATGCCTGACTTACGAAGGGTACGTTTGAAATCAAAATCGACCGTCTTAACGAGTTTAAATTTGATCTCCTACGCGTACTGTGAGATCAAACGACGAGTCGGTCATCATCCATTATTCAAGACTTATGTAACCCAATTTGTTCATCATTTTATATTCCATGTTCGCTTTGTATTGATACGTAATCTTGTTGCTCAGTGGCCCTCATTCCTCACTTTCATTTTCTCCTTGTCTTTAGGGGTTGAAAATGAAACAACTGCTCTACGAATCTGGAAATTACGACGACGAAGATGACTGAATCTCCTCCCTCCCCCAACAACACCACGTAGATTTCATCGATACGCCTGATATATGACTTATTATCGCTTCCATCATCGTCGCATGTTGCACACAACCCAGTTCGAACATTTGGACATAAGGACAACAACGCACAACAATGCATATCAATGATGAATATCCAAACGGAACCCCGGTCATTCACATTTTTATACATGGTTTTTCCGTTTTTATTTGTCGTTAGTTTTACGATCTCTTTTACTTTCTCTCTCTCACTTGCACACACCGTGCATCTCCGGAGTCCGAATAACTATCTCGTGGTATCCGGTGATCGCAATCACCACTCCGCACCACCTTTCGCATTCCATTAGTTAAGGTTTTCTTCCAACACGACCTGTTCATTTTTGTCCTCAACTCACTTGACAGTTTGTTTGCCAGTGTTTTCACCTTGTGACGGTCTTTCTTAAATATATGCTTCTTTCGAATTTCGCATTTCTATCTAGCATCTTTTCTGACTATTTCACCGTGGATGCTGTGTATTTGTTTCTTTTTCATGATTTACCTGAATGATCTGGGTTAAAGGGTACGGTTCTTTTACTGTTTATAGGATCTCAGTCGAAAGCAGTTTAGTTCATTCGCCCTGCTCATTTTCCGCAACACATGAAATTTGGTAACTTACCGTCGTGACATACGAAGTGGATCCAAAAGCCGGAAGTAGTCATTGCTAAACCAGAGAGTCAATCACTTCAATACGTGATAATGACAATGCGGTCGAGGCAGAATGATTTAAAATTTATTGTGTTAATTCTTGCGAATTCCCTGTTTTATGTATCAACAACTTAATGGAAGACAAAATATTTACTCCACATCAACCGAAATGCCGCTCCTGTGACATGTAGCTGGTTACTTGTCACTAATGCAAGATGCTATTTTTAAACCAAACTTATCGTATGATTCCTTTCAATAGCTGGACCGTACTTTTCTAATTATATGATTCGAATCAGCGGTTATTTGTTGAACACTTTCTGTCATTGCATGCTATGAATTTCATGTACGTATGAGTGTTGAACTGGAAACCGTTGGAGATCGAATTTTTTGCGAATCATTTATCACACAGATCAACGTGTCACATGTGATGTTCAGTTGTCTAGGGATAATTGTATAGCACAGTATGAACGTGTGTGACTTGAATGCTCCTCTTGCATTTGGATTCGAGCCGTTGCAACCTCAGGGCGTACGCTTTCCGGAGGATTGCTATTCCGTGTCATTACGTACCTCGGCAAACTGTTCCGTAACTCCCCGCATTCTATAGTATTCTTTTCCCCATGATTTATCCCATAGACGCTGCTGATTTATTTACATATTGCTTTTTTTGCTATGTACAATCCTATTTAGGTTTTCCGAATGTATGTGCATGCGCACACATGCCGGTGCATCATGGTATCTCGAACCGCAGATGATCGTGTTCCGAAAAGACTCAAGTTGAATTTGTAGTTTCGCTGCTGTAGACTCACTAGTTAATAGTTATTGGATCAGTTGTGGCTGCATCCTGCTCTGGTACGCGGTCAGTATCCCTCCGATCTTTGCACAAGGTTATGCATCTATACTGTGGCTACAACACAAATTGCGGTGTGATATCCTGGGAATAGTCGCATGAGCCTTGTTGATGGATTTAATCTATGATAGAACAACGGGTATTGGTTCACGTAGAAGCGAAAGCTGTAATCACAACAGTCTATTTTGCAATCCACAGTTGAGGTTAGTGCACATGACTACACGGGCATGACTGCACCTGCAGATTGGTCAATGAATCTACCTGTAAGGTCATAGGATGCTACGGCGTTTTCCCGCCTCTAGTGCGACGACTCATCATCGGATACAAGCTGTCCAAATGATTGTGTTAGAATCTGTCAAATAGAGCTAATAGGTTTGGAATGCAGCATTGCACTCGCCTCGAAGCCGATACATAGGACCAACCCATAAACCCAGTGCCTTTTGGGTAAATTTATCAACATCTAGAATATCATCAATAGTTGACTGTGAACAGTAAAATCCAAATCAGAGGAGCACTGTTTGTGTGTCTGGGCACCAAAGTAAAGTGCAATAAAAAATACTGGAGCCATATAATGAGTGTTAGCGATTCTTGAAATCTGACCTATCACAAATTCTGTTCCTTTGGAACAAACCGATTTTTAATAAATACTTTGTGAGTGGGTGGAATCGGAATTTTTCACCGATAACGTTATTTCCTCGACCGATGATCGAGCTAACTCCAGCCCAGAATGAAGGTATCCGACGGTGACTGACCTGGATCTGTCAAGTAAGAAATCGAGTTGCGACAAAAAGGGTGGGTTATTCAATCACTATACGCGTCAGTCGTTTTGTAGACAGCTTCTGCCCAGACTTCAATTTACTTATAGTAACTGACAACTTACGTTATCAACTATGGTCGTTTTTCCTAAAATGAAACCCGGATTTGGCGTAACATTGAAGCAGTCGTCTTAGTTTCAGTGAAATGATCGAATATCCGGAATGAGCCAAACTCTAATGACCATTTTAGTTTCCGTTGCATCATCGGTGTACTGTGCTTGGATATATATATATATATATATATATATATATATATATATANTTCACCACCGGCTTGTAGACAAGCATGGTGCCAACGCAACAACAATAATTACAATGGCCGTGAAAGGGAACAGGTGGGATGAGGTACAAAACAGGGTGAAAAGGGGGTGGAACTTTTAAACACGGAAAGATGTAAGATATCCGGAATAACAAAGATTGTTTGTGTGCTAGATAGTTGAAAGGAAAATAGGTTCAGTCTAATTGATAAACTTCTAGGATAACAAGATAACGAGTTTAAGATGAAATAGTCTTTCGGCTGAGTTATTCTAATGGCATCATGATTAGAATAAGCAAGGACGTCGAAGAAGATTCGACTTCATGGACTGAAGATAATCTGACAATAACAGCATTCCTCACACATGAAACTTGAAATCTGACTGTAGTAAATACCATGACAACTTATCTGAATCATCGTTTCTGGCTGACTGTGTTTTCAATTTTTCTTGGTGTGTCTCCGAAACACGCATACAAAACCCTACTTCAATTACCTCCTTGCCGCAGCCTGTAAGGCGAGCTACCCCAGTCAAAGCTAAAACTGAGGCTAACTGCTTNCCTTGCCGCAGCCTGTAAGGCGAGCTACACCAGTCAAAGCTAATACTGAGGCTAACTGCTTCATACTTCTACGCCAGATCATGTTTTGATCGCCGCAGCGCTGCTTTCAGCCTTGCTCAGCTCGAGCGAAGAGAGCACGGAGATACACTATGAGCAGGCATACGCAAAACGTGATCAGCTAGTAGACATAAGTGATTTACAAAGATATTGAATCATGACATTGCTTCTTCACTGGATTGGCTCTAAGAGAGCTGTCTACCCTATATGCCACCCGGTGTTGCAAACAAGGTTGTAGTGTGGAAAATACACTTCCTGGGTACAAGAATATGAATGAACGGACAAAAGATTATACATATA